AATTGATCAGATGATCATCCATCCACATCAGTCACGTTTATTTAGCACACACACGTGACATGACATTACCCTCCCCTCCCCCTCCAAGGTTCACAGTCGAATTTCAACGTAGCATTTAACATCCTATATAATTCACACGTGGTACCCATCGGCATTCTGGGTAATTGTTTTAACTATCCTCGTATATACAAAGTTTGATTTTGTGTAACTCGAAATAAAACTGGTAACATATTTTTTTTCTAATTAGTGAAGCATTTGTGTCGGATTTGTGTCGGAAACCGGAAACAGGTCCACTGGCTGATATTTCCTATCGTCGTTTAAAAAAACAAACATCCACCGTACCAACCACCGATGTGTTCAATTGAGTCGCCCCTACCTGAAAGTCGTATATGTGTACATATAGTTGCAAAGTTCACACCCAGCGACAACAAAATTGACACACTTCGGGTCACGTGACCTGGGAGTTGATCGATTTTTTTTTTATCACGGATTAACAAACACTTTACGTAGTTACCTGGCAACCGATACTCGAGTACGTCTTTACACGACATCGTGGGTTTATTAACCGATTAAGTGATAATTTGTGCGAGAAAAGGTGTCGATGCAACAATAACACACTGTTTAATTGCAATGTCCGTTACACGTAGCAGTCGGTGTTAATAGTATGTGGAACTATATGTTGTAGTACTACCGTATATGGTCATATATTAGTTAGCTTAACTCGCCACTGAGTGTTAATTGTGTATTAAGGCAATTGTACGACTTGGAGCATAATTATAACCTATCACGTGGTCTTATGATTATTAATGTAACACACGACACAAAGCGTACATTTACCCGGAAACCCGAAATGTTGGCTTAGCAAAGTCACCACGGTACTGTGATAAACGCGTTTTCATTTCCCCGCCAATTATTTGATACTGATATAAGTACATATAGTAACATAAACCATGGCTTGATTGTGTTCAATTTGCATAGATGCGCCAATCGAATCCCTCAATTTCATACAGGTGTTTAATGTTCTATCTGCTGTGGTTTGAGTCGTCGCTTCGAACCACACCCAAAATTTGTCCGTCCCATGCACACTGACAATTGATTCAAACGAACGTAGCTTTTCATAATTTCGAGTTGTTCAAATCAAACATTTATTCGCTCGCCGTGGTATGATAGATAGATGTTTAGAGGACGAGTTCATTTAAGATTATGATTGTACAACTAAATGCCAACGAACGAGGCTGTGGGTGGTATGGTGCTCGGACACAAATACCATGGGCAATCGTTTCCATTACCCAGTATGCAATGCAATATTCTGATAAATGTTGGAGCAAAACTACCCTATATGATTGCAATACCTATATTATTTCTTCTGTCACGTGTCATGTGGTTTTAATAATGTCTAAATGTTGGTATTATTAATTCTAAAGTCACTACAGAATTGAAATTTCTTCCGGAAGTCAAGAATATAAGGGTAAAAGTTAGTTTGTTTAAAAAATCGCCAAATAGTCACTTCATTGAGAGGTTATTGCAAAACAAGTGTTACAATGTCAATTGTGAATTCGGTATTGTCATTTACCAGCAGAAGTCTGTCCTAGACTCTAAGTACCTTATGCGCGACTTACTACGTGTCAGCGAAGAAGACTAACGCCTTACCATCACCTTGGACACAGTTCACGCGAGGGCCACCAGTAAATGGAACTCAGATGCCCAGCTACCTTAAAATGTACGATGCCATCTCAGCATTAAATGAGACGAGTTGTTGCACGTACAAGAAGTTACGTGATATCCATCACAATTTTTCAACAGTTGGTCAAGACTGATAGACAAAATGGCGGCGCTCGTATGGGTAATATATTGAAGTGAGTTACAGAAAATTCCGCACTACAAATAGGTGAATCGCTGCTCTCTCGCTGTAACTAAGTATAATTCCCAATCAATCCTAGGAAATGAGTTATAAACGATGGGAACATGGTACAAGTCACCTTCTGTCAATAACGACTACGAGTTAGAAAATGTAGGGCACAAAGGGAGACAGCGCCATAGGCGGCCATATGTCTGGTTGTCACGTGATGAGTAAGGTTACATTAATTGATTCTTCGGACGTCTTGTATTGATTGGCCACAAGGAACCCGTCATTTTGTAGAAGATGTGACGATAGCTGCAAAAACAAAATATTTCAATTCACTAGAGCCATTTCTCTCCCACGATCCGCTACAGCCTACAGGTTCCACGCAATGTCCCAATACAAAGCAGTAAATTACATTCACTTTTTTGCGCTGAAGACGAAAACAAAATTATTGTAAAATGGTTATCGCATTATTTTTAAAATCAATATAGCTTTAATGACACATATCAAGTGAGTCCAATTGACGGACAAGTCCAACAATACCGCAAATGGTTCACTGCGCATGCGCATTATACTGCATATATCATTAGAAAGATTGTTTCCGCGCCACCCTTTCAATACACGTTTACTGCGTTGTGTCGTCACAGGAAGCGCTGTTCCAGCACAGACCTGTGTCATATGACGTCTTACTAGCCGATTTTGGTTAAAATAGCGCCCCGCCGCCTCTTTACACTAGTGTTTATACACGGAACTTGATACTTCTTTTTCCAATTTAAGTTGCTTTTTAATCGTGTATTGTAGTGAAATATTGTTTAGTGGGTGAAATGTTAATGTCAT